AAAATGAATGAAAAACATAATTAATCCTTATACCAGTGATTTGCACTGCAGTGATAAAAACAGAAGTAGTAAGTACATTGACACAGACCTTGATAGACAGTGAGAGTGAAGAGAATGCGGGTGGCAAGCAGTTACTAGAACTGACACCAATTATTGTTATGCCAAAATAAATTATCTATTTTATAGGTAGATTGTATGGCTGAGTTTATCTAGAACTGAGATGGGAATTACCCCTGCTGCATGACACACCATACAGCAGGGAATATTTGGCTTTCAAGCTTGTTGACATAGGTGCTGTGTAGCTGAGTGCAATATGAGATGCTGAGGGTCAGTGTCTGCAACTCATGCTGCTTTCCATCTCCACCAGTCCTGTGCAGCTGAAGCTCTGTACCCTCGCTGGTCCTGGAGATGTTGGGGACTCTGCTCTTGGGGGCATGGCAGTATGGAGAAGAATGTTCCCAAGGCACAAAGCAGCCCATCAGAAAAGNNCCCCCCAGCCAAGGAGATGTGCAGGTGTGTCCCCGGCGCCGCGGCGCCTCGTCATGGCTCTGCCCCTGACAGCTCAATGCATCTGCTCCTGCCTCAGAACAATTTGGTGTCGGGTCGCTCCGCACTGTTTCATGGACAGCACAAACAGAATCACGCCTGATTGCAGCTGAGCCATAAGGGCCCTTCCCACCATACACCCACCGATGCCTCATTGCCCCCACTGCGCCCTGCCATCTGCACCCGTGTGTACTTTCATCCCTTGTTCTACTCTGCATTGCCTGTTCTATCAGAGACAGTGTTGACAGTGCTTCACGTGACAGAGTTCATGCTGTTTTATACATCAAGAGAGTAACCCACATAATTTACTTTATTTACCTTTTAATCCATCTATTGATTACTGCTGTCAGTTACTACCAGAGCAAGGAACAGCCCTGGTACCTGCAGTGTGCTCGTGGGACTCACCACTACCACACGGGTTTGCATTAGTCGGGTGTGCTTTGAACCATTATGAGTCATGGCAGTTGGGTTTTCCTTTTGCTGGGGCTTTCTCACTGTGGATATGGCTTTGAGTCATATGGTTGTACGTCAAAAGTTAATATTAATCCTGCTTTAGCTATGCTGTAGGAAAAAAAAATCTGCCTATATTGCGACTGTCAAAACTGCTTTCATAATGAAATATAAATAGACTGATTTGACAAAATGAGAATTATCACTGTATCAGAAATTAACTCTATTTCTAGGGATGAAGTCTGAAGTCTGAATCACAGAATAGTTCGAGTTGGAAGGAACACTTAGAGGCCAGCTAGTCCAACTCCCCTGCAATGAACAGGGATACCTGCAGGTTGATCAGGTTGCTCAGAGCCCCATTCAGCCTGACCTTGGATGTCTCCAAGGGGCACCATCCATCACCTCTCTGGGCAACCTGTGCCAGTGCCTCACCACCCTTATTGTAAAAAACTTATTCCTTATGTCCAATCTAAATCTCTTTTAATTGAAAACCATTTCTCCATGTCCTGTCACAGAAGACCCTGCTAGAGTCTATCCCCTTCCTTTTTACAGCCCCCCTTTAGATGCTGACAGGACCTGGTATTCGCAGGTCTCCCTGGAGCCTTCTCTGCTCCAGGCTGAACAGCCCCAGCTCTCTCAGCTCTTTGTTCTTATTTTCTGACCTTTGGTATCAAGAAAACATTTCTAGAAAAAGCTACTCTGACTATTTCAAAAAGTGGATCTCCTGGGAGCAATATTTTTGGTGTTCTTTAGTAAGCATGGTCAAAAAAATAAAAAATAAAAATGAATGCAGTGAAATCATAAATTTATTAATAAATGCTTGTCCATCATTTTAATTGTTGTTTTA